GTCGTTCTGCTACAACTAATCATGTCGTCAGGTCGTCAATGTTCAGTAATATTTACCCACCTGGCGGAACATGCTGTAATCATCAAGAATATGATGACAAGGAGAATAATAAAATTACTGAAATTAACATTTTTGACTTAATTATGATCTCCTAAGCAGATTAAACTAAAATATTTCTAGCTTTCCCCCAATGTTTAGGAACACGTTCAATTTGCCTAGGATATAGATTATGTTTACCACGGATATGTTCACCAACAGAAACGGTATGACTCGTAAGCATATACAAATGACGTAACTGGTCTGACTACTATCCTATTTGGACGTTTTTGACAGCTTAATTTAAGTAATACCTTTGACTATTAATATGATCCATACCGCGCTTAAGAGTTTTGATTTCCATTGTCAAGTTAGATGGTTTGGTGTGTCGTATTCACACTATCAATCAATTATTCTTTATGAAAAACACAAAACTTGATCCAGAACCAAACCATCTAAAAGCTACTGACATTTTCTCGAGTACCACAATACCATTCATTGACTATATGTAGCAGCTACGTGTTCGCCCGGCATTACAGGCAAAACACTTATATTTGCGCATATCTTCGTTATCAAAGACCTAGTTGCAGTTCCTGTTCCGCCAAGACCCGTTATTTCCGCTGTAAGTTTGTAACAGGTTCGTTGAAACTGGTTTGCGATTGTTGTAATCACACATAAGTGCGCTCCCGTTACTGTCGCCACACGTTATGAAGGATATGAGTCTTACCTTGTCTACCTTCAACACATAATGATTGCCGTTATCTGGAAGACATTTCCCGATAGTTCCCATTGTTCGATTTAACATGTAGAAATAATTAGTATACAGATAACTACAGACAAATTGTTAAACATGGACGCTGTTAAAAGGTTTTGTAGAAATTCTTGATGACTGTGGGATTTCTTTTTCACTCATTGCAATATTTGTGATAGTATATAAAAGAGTATTTGTGTTTTAAATAAATAAGCACTGCAGTTTGGTCTGTCTCATTAAAATAGCGTTCAACCAAAAGGTGAAATCATAAAAAATCCTACCCAAAACAAATTTAATAAAACCACTATATGCCATATGTACCAGTATACATGTTAGGTGTACTACTTGAACTAAGTTATTATAAAACCAAAGAATAAAATATGAAAGATGTAGTAGTTGCGTGAGAAAATATTGTGAGAACAATTTTTACCAAGTAATTACCATTGCTAATTACTCAACGCGGAAAATAAAAACAGTTTCTAATACAAACGCATCAAAATGTGCGTAATTATCAAATTAGAGGCCACTCGAATTGAAATGTTGACTAATGTATATAGGGTAGTCAGCAAGGGTAGTTTCCTGTAATCCCAATACGACTTAAAACATAAAAACGTTTTACAGCATCGCATTTTACATAAAACACGCTGTTAAAAATATGAATGCAAAGACAGAAGTAAAACGCATTATTATGTAGATATCGGCTTTACACAGTCTCCGTTTCCATTCAGGGCCGGATTTCCCAATAGGCCCGGTAGGCCCGGGCCTATGGGCGCAAGGTCCCAGAGGGCGCACGACCGAGAGGATTTTTTTATATCTAAAAATGAAAATAAATAGTCTTAGTTGATAAAAAAAAACTGCCTGTTTAAGCGTTATGATTCTGAGGTTCATAAGAAGAAATAATTGTTAGGAATTTTAAACTATTTTTCGGAACTACGCATCAATTTCGTTACAAAATTGGTAGCGAACACCGGTTATACGGGAGTAGGCTGTAGGGATGTTGACGTTGACGAGCGCCCTGCCCTAGCGGTACGCATCGTATTGCCACTGCACTGCCACTATGCTGGCTCGGGCTCGGTACTATCTGATCAGAGTGATTTGGGGGGCATGCGTGGTAGACATTGTTACCACCCTCACTTCACAAAACAAAAGTTATTAACTAATAAAAATATATAATACGGTGTGATGAATATCAAATCAACAATGAATTTACCTTTAAAATTTACGAAAAAATATTAATTTCAGTTTGCATTAGATTTTAGAAAAATGCAATACCCTTCAAAGCACCATTAATGCTGTAATTTTCTCCTCAGACCTAAGAATCGGTATTGTTGGCCGGAATATTGCTCTGTTTTGCTTTGGAAATATAACCTAGATCATTGAATAGTCAAAGCCTAGATGCAGTACAACCATAGGTTAAATGTAACTCACTCAAGTCGACTTCTTATGACATTGTTAATTCAAAATTTGTCAATGTCTAGTTTATGTTGGTGACACTTGATGTTAGTTATCACGTAATTTTGTTTCTATTATTTTTGGTTTAGTTCTATGATGTGGGTTTTAATTTATTTTAATATAAACAGGAGACGACCAATTTTTAATGATTAGATTGTTGTTTTTTTTATAAACTAGGTTTAAATATAGATAAAACATACTCCTTAAATAAAAAGAATTGTTTTCAGCTAGGCTAATCCAAAACGATGACAAATCTACTAAAGGAGTATGTTTAATCTATGGTATCACGTACTGTATGGAGTTCATGTTTTGACCCTGAATTGGAATCAATGGCCATGTTTTTTTTTTGCATGAATGCTCGGTGAGTTGAGTTGTTTTGTTTCAGTTCAGTCCCACGGCGGCCACGGCCACAAACGTGAGCATTTAGTAAAGGCATAAATTTGTTAAAAGTGTTTAAGACGGCATTTTGTTAATGCTAAACAAGTCAATTCTTAAAAAAAAAACTTGCAATGCAACGATTCCGACGAAGAGTGATACTCAAGCAATTAACTTAAGCCTATAGTCGTGATATAGTTTTTAATAAAGGTTTGAAAGAAAGTAACTGGGACCAGACTAGGGGGCGGAAAATTGTTTTGGGCCTAGGGGCGCAAAAATGCTAAATCCGGCCCTGTTTCCATTGTCAACTTTGTAAACATGTCCACGCATCCCAACTGTGAAGTATATTGTTGTGTCCAAAACAACATTCTTTAGCTAACTTGGTGTTTTTAAATTGATATGATATTACGCGATATGGCATTAGGCATTATCTTTCACAACTACATTCAAACCCTGTGTCTGTAATATTATCAGTCCGTGTGTAATTATTATGTTTTGTAAGTAGGTATACTGAAGAATATTTTAATTTACATCACAGTTTCAAGAACTTGAATTATATTAGTTTATCTTCGTTGTTATAGCCTGTAGTTCTTCAAGGACACGGACATCTTACCAGTCTGTAGCTAGAGGCGACAGCAAAGGTAATCTAAGGCTAGGATTATACTAGGACGCTGGCGTCCGAGAGGCCAGCGTCTGGGACGCTAGCGGGGCATTAAATCAAATGGGCGCGATTATACTATGGATGCTAGCGTCGGATGCTAAAAAAAGGCCACCGGACGCTCGAAGCTATTACCGTAGGTGGCATGGTAAGACCTAGGCCGGGACCGAATTACTTTTTCATTTTGATGTCCCCAGAGGCCAAAAACACCATCGATTCGTATAGATTTAAATATTATATATATATATGTCTGTAAACGCGATAACTGGAGTAACTTTTGTCATATTTTGAAGAAATTTTGTTTTAAGGTGAAGGGTGGGATAAACTTGAATGAGTTCGCGAACCAGCATGAACAGACCTTGGGAACGGGGTTTTATGTGCTAAAAAAGGGGGTTTGTCATTTTTGACCCATAAAACTGAAAAATTCCCAATTTCTCTCTAGACAATTTTAATGAGCTTAAAAACAAATAATTTAGTATATTTAAGTGTTTTTGTACTGTTATTAGTTATGGAGAAAATTAAAAAAGAGTATATTAAAAATTGTCATGTTATTCTTATAGAAAATGTTGTTAAGTGTTGGAATTTGCTTGTGTATGGATATATTTTAATTAAACTTGGCCAATTTGTTTTATACTAAGCTACTAATACAGTATTTTACAAAAAAAAAAAAAAAAAAAAAAAAAAACACACACTTTATTAGCCCCCTTAAAGCATCAACCATCACCTTGGTACTCGTTAAACCTAATGTTATTTAAATATATATAAATAAAAAGTGACTAAACATTGAAATAAAATGGCAGTCCGAGAGGCTAGCATCCCAACACAAATCACGTCATTTTTCGGCTCGAGTTGGGACGCTAGCCTCTCGGACGCCAGCATCCCGGACGCCAGCGTCCTAGTATAATCCTAGCCTAATATGTACTGAAAATTTTGTACACAATTTTCATGGTACTTTACTACAACATTAGCGTAAAATAAATATGCATTATTTTGTCTTCACCTTAAAATGCATACCGTGTTGACAAGATGAGCAAAATTATCAAAAGGTTAAGGATTGATATGTTGCTGTCACTAATTGTATATTTATTTAGCGAAAGACTAATGTTTCCAACTAACATTTGAGGCTTGCATTAAAACAGTGACGACCATAAATTGCTTACTTTTAAATGCGTTAGGTTGTCACAAAAATCCTCATTTACGATAAATTGTTTGGTGTGAATTATATATAACAAAACAGTGTAGAAGGGTGACTTAAAGGGGCGGTGGGATGAGATTCGTGAGAGATACTTACCTCAAAGAAATATGTAAACCAAATATTTAAACAAACGAGTCCCTGAAATATAAATGCTTATGTGTTTTCCACTTATAAGTTCTGTGTAAAACTATACTTGCCGTTTTTTAAAAACATTTTGTTTTTGTATAATATCTAACTATGCATTCTAAAAAGATCCAAAAATTTAATCACTTTCTCAATACTCTGTCTAAACTTTAACACTTTTCGTCGTCATAAATTGTATGAAAAAAATATTTGCGTTTTTGATTCAGGGGTAACGTGCTTCCCCCTTGTTAATTGTTTACAAAGAGGACAGTTTGCACACCTTTGGTGACCTAGGAAAAAATTGTAGACACTCCGATCTTAAAAACACTTTACCAAACAGAAAACACCCACCCTTTACACTTCCACATTTCCATTTGCTGTCAACTACTCAAACAATTGCCAATACTCACAGCCTCTGCTATCTTCAGCATGCCGGGCACAGTCCGGAAGTATCCATAGTTGATGGTTATCCAGGAGAACAGTGAGTCCGTTGTGGACTCTGGCTTGGACTCCGAGGGAGGTATGTGTACCACGGTCTCCGGCATTGCTACGACGAGACACACACGATGGTCACTGACAGACTGACTCGGCACTCGCCCCTCCACAGGTCTGACGTTTCTAAGTGAAAATATAAATATCGCGGACGAGTGTTGGTGTTCCAGTATTTAGAACACGTCTCGGAATTTCGTTGTGACTAGAGGCTAAAACAATACTCTGGTGTTGGTCGTAAATCGGATTGTAGGTTTTTGTTTCAATCATCAGTCCCCATGCTTTTCTTATGGTGGATATTTTACGATATCTCGTTTTCTGGTAACTTTATGGGAATTCTGATATTTTCCCCGAGTCCCTGGGGTCAAGACCTTTAATTTAAAACATCTCCCACTTTTCTGAGACTTATCAGACGTCCACAATTTTCTGGTAAAGATTTTGTCTTTCAGAATTTTATTTAAGGATTAATATTCGGCCGGTGCATTTTCAATATTGCTTACGAAATATATAGTTATGTTTGGCTCAGTTGGTATAGTACCACGGCCAAGGCAACGATGTCGAGGGTTCGTATGCTGGTACTTGTTATTACGGTATATACTTTTTATTAATACAGTTTACCTTTGTACTATACTGGCTCACCCCACCCCTTAATTGCTTTGCTGGATACGTTCCACGCACAAGCCCAAGGCATATGTGGACAGGCAAATACAAGGTTAAAATAGGTAACCAACCTCTTTTTCAATAAAAAAAAAACTATTAAAATAAATTCGGTATTTTAATGCTGTATGCATATAAATCTCATTCTACGTAGGTAGTTTTGAAACTTAGAGAGTACTAGTGTATTCGTATTGGGTAAAATAGTTCTTAAATAAGAATCATAGCTAACAACTGATTGATTTATTACTTGACACAGTATATGGATGTTTCCAATCGTTTTATAAAACCATTGAATACATCGTTTAATCACTTCTAAAACAATTACAATACCTGTCATAATGTTTAACTAAACCATTTCACAAATGATTTTAAAATAATGTTATTCATTAAAAAAAATAGTAATTTTAAAAATATTTCAGTTGATTATGAAAATGATTTAAAAATGTGTTTTTCTTCACAAAACCATATTATTTAGAAAATTAAAGAGGAAATAATATTTAAATCTTTTATAAATCATTTTCCTTCTAAGATTCTTTAGATAATCATTTTAAAACGTTATGCATGCTACTTGGGTTGTTGTGCAATCACTAATAATTTTAACTCAGTATTTAACCTTCTTATCAGGTAACGGTATAGTAGATGATTTTAGTAATTTTAATTGACGTCCAAGCTCAGATTGATATCAGTGATGTCATGCCATCCAAGTGTGAAGTGGAAATAACAATTTCGGCAATGCAAACACAGCCAAAGCTTATATGTTCTGGGCAGCTTATTCTGAGTCAGGAAACATGCGAAAAAACGTAAGATTTATTTTGAATTTCCTATTTAATAACTTTTTTCCCATCCTTTTGCTTAAGTGGATACGAGAAAGGATTTTCTTGAACAACAAAACATCATAAAACAACGGTTTTTTAAATTCAAAATCCTTATACATTATCTACTACAGCTGGTTACCAGCTTTCCTTTATCATGGTAATCGATAAAGAAACAGCTGCTCTTTGTTGGTAACAAACACTTTTTAGGACAATAATTAACAGCATTTGTATTCTGTATGCGTGCTGTTCTACGTTTAAGCATACACTAACCAACAAGAGCGCAAACAGTTGATCTTTGTGCTAAGCTGATGCTCGGCAGCCCCACAATCCCTCGTAAGGCGTAGGGGTTGGCGATCCCATCGCCCGGTGGCTTGTCCATCGCAACCAGCCTCCCTGTCTCCCTACCCCTCATCTGAGCAGGGGCTGTACTATTAATCCATGTTTCTTCAACTTCCTAACACATGGATTAACTTTCTCACCTATCCATCTTCCATTACATTTCTGCTCCCTTTTCCTTAGCTGTTTCAGGTCAACCATAGGTGTCATGTAGACCGTGCAGAGGGGTGGCTGGTACTTAGAGGACTTTTGAGTGTCACAAACAGAACCTGCAGGACAGCAGGCAATCTCCTACAGAAGAAGCCTTGCCCAGTCAGGCGGAGCTCTGTGTGCACCGACTTCCAGACCTAGGGGGTCTGGCTTATCGTGGGAACAGTATGGAGCAACAAGGGCATGGTCAGAAAAAAAGACGAGGGGTGTTGAATCAATTCAAATATATTTTAAATTTAAACCAGCAATAAAACTTGGTGTAATTAAACTATTTGTGTTAATAGTATCAACTGGTTTGCCAATCCAGAATAATTTAACGTAACCAGTTGGTTACATTTTGGATTTGTATGTGGATTGACTTTGTGTGGGCCTTATGTTTAGAAACAGCGTTCAAACCTTTGGTTGCGTGATCAATAAATTGGTTTTTATTTTAATTATAAATATAATTTTATTTTAATGAGTTGTGTTCGTATGGTTTTTGTGTACCGCTGTGATCGTTGTGTATGTGGAATAGAAGTGGAAGTGTTTGTGTAGTATAGCTAGTTTACTAGTGTTTGTCGATACTTGGCAAACACTAGTAAACTACATGCAATAATTATTGTATGGGGATTGTATGCAAGTAACATAGCGTCTTAATTACTTCACTCTACCTACACACATATTTTTGTTAAAATATGCATCTTTGTGTTGTCCTCAACCTCATCATTGAATGTAATGTAATACTGCCACCATCTGCATTGTGTCAATCACTGAATAAGCTGAGATAGGTAGAAAGAACCACGCGAATCTGCTTCTTACCTTAGTTTACGAATTGCTTAGCCAACTGGCTTATATCAATTATTGTCAAAGCCAATACAGATTCTTAAGCCAGTTAACACTTAGAAATATTTTTTTAAGCATTTTATAGGAAAAGTTGGGTGACAGTTCTGATAAAATCAGCTTCAAAAGACCTGAAATAGTTTAAGGGCCACATCATGCACAGAGTACCACAAGGTCTGTGGTGTTGTGGTGTAAGATATGTTAGGTGTGGCACAATGATCTTGGAGAGAGACCAAACATGGATGAATACAAAGAGTTGTCCAAGACAATAGGTTGTCCACAAATTCCGTTACTTCTTTATTTGTAAGCTGTGTACCCGTGGGAAGCCTTTCTGTTTGTGGGTAGTTCAGTTTGACAAGTGGCGAATATAAAGCTTACCTCAGTAGGAGATGTTTAATTTTGTCAAATCACACAAAATGTACTGCAGTACCTTTGACTATCCAATATAGTCAATTGTACATTAGAGATACAGTAGAAGACCCTTGATTTGGGGACAAAATTATATTAAAGTACACTATTTTGTCATCAATATATTAAATGTTTTTTCTCATCAGTAATATTATAATCAATTGTAGAAAAACCTGCTGATAATCAAGAAGCTCATTCTAATGTGTTTTAAGTAACTTATTTTTTCCTGTACTAAATCATGAACATAATTTCATGAGGGCAAAATTTGTAGCATATTTATATGAAAACGGTTATTTACAAAGAGTGCTACCCATCACACCGAGCATTTAGGCCAGTTACAGGCTTGGTACACTAGTTTAAATTTTATTGGTCAGTTTAAAATTATTACTATCGCTATTTCAGGGATGAAATTAAACATATGATTTTTATTTAGATCAGTGTTTCAAACATTTTGTGCTTTTTACACTGTTACAAAAAATGACACTTAATATTGTAACAGATTTAAAATTGAAAAATTAAACTTTTAACCTTTTATAATGTAAGGTAAGGATTTATGTAAAACAGGCAATACTTCTGTTATAAAATAATGTATTCACTTTATTTCAACTTAAATATCTAACAGTTTAATTTATAAATTTCAAGATCTGACTGTACATCATAATTACATTACATTACATACATTATAGAAGTATAAAAATATCACAAGTTCATTTCTAAACACTGCATTACTATAGCTTCGGCTTGACGATCATGGTGCGAAACGTGAGATTTATTCGGACTCCGGGGCAGTTCTTCCTCTTGGGAAGAGAATGGTACCAGTGTGTGTTGGTCGGAGGGTTCATCATTAGTAGGCTGCCGTGAGTCAAGGAGATCTTGACAGTAGGAACGTCTCTTTTGGCTGATCCTGCCAAGACAATTAAAACGTGTAAATAAGTATGATAAAAATGGACATGTTCTAAGACTATCAGAATGGAATTCACTGTGCTAGGTATTTTATGTGTAGCTTGGCTCAGGTAATATTCATTTTGTAAGCATGCTATAAAAACTTGAACTCCTCAATAGCTGTGTTATTCGCTCAAGTGTTTCTTTTATATCTGTCCATTGTTATCAGTATAAGACAATTAAGCTCAGTCGATAAACTAGCTGTCTTCAGTAGGGCGTGACTTGTTAATTGAAATTTAAGTGTAGGCCTAAATTAAGAAGTTGTGCATGAATTAAAAGATCTTTAACAATCTCCCGACACAGTCAAGTGGTATAGCTCAAATCTGACATCGGCACCCTTTATTTCATTCACTTCTGTTCTGATGAGTTCCAACCTCTCGGCAACGATTAGTCTTGTCATAGTAACCGATAATTATGTGTAATTGACACAACTTAGTATGAACTGAGTGATAGTATCATATCTGTGTTCTGTGATCAGGTCGTAGTGGACAGTCAATTCATATTAAAATATTTACTGATTGATGGATGTACATCAGATAGTTTGCAGTAGGTCGTAGACATTTTCATCACAAGGTCAGCAGCAGAAATGTATCAGTATCCATAGTGAGAGGACAGATAGGAATCTGTACCATCCAGCTGATCGGTGTTACTCCCCAGTGCTACTCTATAAAATGGTGAGTCAAAGGGGCACTCCCCGCCGCAAGACTATAGCTAGATTTGTACTAGCTTAATTCCTTAATTTTGGTTGGAGCTTGTCAGAGAACAATTTACGGCCAATACTTGGAGATTGGATAGAATTAAATAGTTTCCTGATTATTTCGTGCTCAGTCCTAAAAGAGACATAACGTAGACCTACTCTTAACTGACCTAGGTCGGATAACTCAAAAGATTGGTTAAAACG